TTTTAAAGCCACAAAAAAATCTGTATTAAACTATAATCTAGCTCGAAATAGTTCACTTGTGATGTGAACATGTGATGATACAGAATACATTAAAGTTTACCTTTTTAAATCCAATTATAGGAAAACAAAATAAAACCTTTTCACAAAATTCAAATTTTTTTAGAGGGATTAGTATAGGGTTAGTATTGTTGCTGCAATGGCGCTATCCACTAGATGGCAATAGAGAGCCGTGCTATTTAAGCGCAGCTACAGCCAAAACAAAGTTGACAGCTGACAGAATATTCAAATGTTAGCTCTTACCAGGTGATAATCCAGGGTCCTACACAACAGAGACAAATATCTGATTATTGATATTGTTAATAAGTAAGCAAAAAACATCACCTTTTATCATTTTGTGGTAATTATTCAACAAAGAAAGATGGTGACAATTAGAGAAAGCTGTTGTATATTGAGTGAAAAAGAAACTACTCACCAAGTCAAGAGGACCTGAAAAGAGGAAATATTGAAGATTGTCAAAGAAGATTCACAAGAAAATATTTCACCAAGTGGATCCATCAGCACTTGACATCAGCATGCCAAAATGTGCAGCATAGCTTCATGCAGACCATTTTTTTTAAGCTGACTAACAGCAATGTAGTATGACTGGTTTCCTGCGAGCGTTAAACAGCAGATAAAACTGAAAGCATCAAACTATATTGTTACAGTCCTGCTCTGTGGTCCTTATTATACACACACTAACTTATTTTAAGAATTTATTTGATTAATTATGACCTTCGACTATCAAAGAACGTGATTGGTTCATACTGAACCTCACTCAGCAGTTATTAAATTGGCTCAAATTTGAGAAAATAGGCCACAATGATTTTCTGAATTCATGTTGAGTAAATATGTTGTCAGATACTGCTGCTAAATCCACTGACACAATAAAAAAGCCTGCCTCCCTTTTACTGCTGCATAAAGAGGCCTACAAGCAGGACAGGGGTCATCAAATTACAGCAGTCATCATTATTGCCCTGCATGTCCGTGACATATGTCACACAGTTTTTATTTATCTATTTTTATCATTTGCTCACTACTTGACCCTCACAAAGTCATCTGAATAACATCATCTATTAAAGAGGAAATACCTACTTATTTTACAAATGGTGATCACTTCTAGACACTCTTTGTGAGCTCCTGTTCCACAGCGAGAGCAGTAGTAGCCCTGATAGAAGATGCCCCTTGAGGACAGGCACGCACACACACACACACACACACACACACACACAGAGAAACATGCACTTTAGTAATGCAAACAGGAAGTGGCTGAGACACAAATTAACCTCCTGTAAGAACAACACACAAGGGGACCTGCTGCTTGTTCCTATAATTGTTCCAACTGCGAATCCACATCCTCCATCATTCCCGTTCTGTAATTCTTTAAAAATCACCAAATCAACTGGCTCAGTTTAAACCGTGTACTCCTGAAGTTTATTTGTTACGGGTACTGTAACACTGCATGCATCGCACGCTGCCAAGTTGAATAGTAAGTGCCATAAATCACGATGGGATCTGCTGGGACTGCAGCAGTAATTAGCATCTAGCAGGAAGAGAGAACGCTGGTCCCTGCTGCCATCGGCTCTGTGAATTTAGGTCAGCAAAGCCACGCAATTTGTGGGTCAATACACAGAGTGGGGTTTAGCCGGCTGACTCTAATAGAGGTGAAAGTGGTGATTCAGTGACACGGGCTATCCCACTGCAGACGAGCAGCATTCTCACATGAGAGAAGGTGTACTCAGGAACACTGTGGGTGGTGCGGGGCCGGGAAATGTTTAAAAATAACATCCGTCAGCCGCAGTCACACTTACTAGAATATTTTCCAAGGAATGCTCTCACACTAATGACGGGTTATGCGAGCCAAAAACATATTCCCTCTGTGATTTAAGTCTGTTTGTTTGTTCACTACCAAATGCTACTTAAATTATTTATTTTTATATTTGTACTGCTGTAGTGTATACTCCACTCCAAGGGTATTTTTTTTCTCCTCTGTTTGTGGTGTACAGAGTCAAAATTACAAAAATTGTGTTGTTGTCCAAATACTTACCTAACTGTAATAACTTTTGTGTGCTTTTATGAAAAAGTGAAGCCAACGTGGGAGTAGTTGCAAAAGGTCTCCTGGCAGCAGTGCTTCTTTGCCAAAAAGACCATCAGCTCCCTGGTTTTGTGTTCTCAGTAAACACTTCCCTGATCATTTTATTGGGCTCAGTTGCTATTTTCATGACACTCTGAATAAAACATTAAGTCTATTTTGTAAATTATAAGTCAGGGAATCAGAGAGGAGGATTATCCAGGATGCTCGTTGGTTAACAAACTGTCAATCACAAGTGATTAGCCACAGAATCTCCTCTGTTTCTGCTCATCTGCTGACACATGTGGTTTCAAAACACCAAGATGGTGACAGTGAAAACATTGAACTTCCTTTTTTGTGCATCATAATTTATTAATAATTCTACCGTTGCATATTTTGGACATACAGTGTCTCTGCTTCATAAAGTTTGTCTGGATAAGTAACACATAAAAATGCTGTTGCTACCAAATGCTGACATAACAGTTACTAGAGAGTCTGGAATAAGGATGTATTCGGTGTGCATTAGTAACGGCACTAAAGATACCAGCGCTGGGGTTGTCAGGGTCATTACCTCAAGAGCATCTTGCAGGCTCGACAGTTGGTATTCTTATCAAATGTGTGCATTTCAAAGTTGTGCTGATTAGCTGTGGCTCTCTCTGGCTTGATGTTGGACCTAGATAAGTAAATAATATGGAATTAAATAAACCAGTTAAACTGAGGATACCTAGGATTCTTTATTTTTTCCCATGCTACTGAAAAATAACATGGCAAAGACAATTAGTCTCACATAAAATACATTTTATCCAACTAGTCATACTCACATGGCCATATCAAATTGCTCCATCCACTTCCTCTTTGTTTCCTCAGTTTTGCAAAAGAACTGGAAGCCCTGCTTCCCTTGCAGATGGATCAGGTAGAAACCATAAGACCACTGGTGAGAAAAAGTGAGTGTTGAACAGATGGCAGAAAAAGGTTTGTGGATGGCAGACCGAGATAAGAAAGAGGCATGTGATATCAGCAGTTCCAACAAATATATGGTCAAATCAAGTCAGACCTAAAAGATCATCAACATGCTTTAGCAATTAATTGGATAAGACGCTGGTCACAGACTCAGACTGTGCATATGCAATCAAGGTATTACATCCCAAAAATCACCACAGCCAAAACAAAAACAAAAAAAAAAAGCCACTATGAGAAGATGTGTTAAATAAGGGGATCATTTGAGCTTACCATTTTTCCACAGGACTGGTAAGCATGCAAAAAGAAAGACACCAGAGAAAGACCCAGTTACACATGCAAACATGTACGCACGCATGCAGATCCAAAAACAAAAAAGCCATGTTAGACCGGATGCCCAGTGCACTGCAGAACGTTTTCATGAATCCTAAATGATCTTCATTGCATTTACATGATTTTACAAGCACGAATGAACACAATGCACGTTTGACACAACAGTGTATTACCCCATCTGAAATCACATCAGAAATTACCATCAGCAAGCTCCTTCAGCTCAAGGGCAACATTTGTAATGATTACACATGCCGCTTCATCGCCTACACCGGCCGGGCCACCTTTACAAAGATCTCACTGACGAAATTGCTCTGTCTCATTTCAAACCGTGATGTTCTTACCTTTTTCATGTCTCTGTTGTTCGTCGGGTCATCCGACATTTTATGATTTTGCAGCTCAATAATCTCTTTGAGCTCATAGCTATAGCCTTTCCTCTTGCAGACAATGACCACTTTATCAAAGAGGAATATATACCTGAAGACAATCATACATTTTTATTGAATATTGGCAGCGATAAAATGTTGCTAAAGGTTATTATAGTTTAGTTTTACTATAGAACTTGGACTCACCGGTCCTGTTTTGTTCGGTTCGTAGAGGAGCACACCTTCAGTTCTCCATCTATCTTTGGCCTCCCGTACTCCTCCAGCTTCACCTGCTGCTTAGGTTGCAAAAAACAAACAAACAAACAAACATAAAAAGCAGCCTACTAAACCAATGGATTCTGCAATTTTAATAAATAATTTTGCTAGACTTTTAATTTCAGAGAGAATTAATATCCACGATAAACGATGATTCTCCATCCTCCCTTTGACTTTTTTCCAAAGTCATACCCAGTGGCTACATGTATAAATTATTCAGAGCACTTTTACTGTACGTATTACTGTATATGTGGCACATGTACAAACCAAAGCTGAATACTGACTTGGCATATCAGCAAGGAACAACAAAAGAAGTTGTGATAGAGAGATAGAAAAACGAGAAAAAAGGTTGGTGCTACACAAAATATTAAAGTGAGCACTTTGCAGTTTACATAAATGAGTTATTAAGGGAATTATCATGGCTGAGGATCATGGAAGCACTTTGAAAGATAGAGGTGTTCTGAGGAGAGACTAATCATTCTGTCGAACTTCAAAAACACCTGTTGATAACATGCCAGTGCGTTGGCATGTATATATTAAAGAACAACCTTTAAAATGTTCTTAGCTGCTCAAAAGATAACAAGTGCAAGGAAAGTGTGGAGTACTTACAAGATTTTCTATTGAACTTTGGAATTCGCTGATTTTTTTCAGTGTCTCATTGTCTCTCTTGACTTCATTGATGTACATGGCCAGGTCCTGGAAGAGCCAGACATTCTTTCAGGCATCTGCTATTTCAAGCTGTATTTACAACACTTGAGCAACACAGTGGCTGTATGTAATTATGTAGCTTTAGCTAAGAGGGTGATTCTGCAAGATTTTTAAACACACACCTGCATAGCCTCCAGAGCCTCCTTCAGTTGTTGTCTCTCGGGTCGGTCAGTTGAGTGACTCAAAAGTTCCTACGGAGAGATTATTTTGTTAGAAAAATGTTCTTGTACTTTGAGAAACTGTAAAAACCAAACTCCAATGGTGTGTCTGTTTTTCTTGGCAAAATTTGACAACTGCACACTGCAGATCTGAAATCATTAACAACACATTAAAAAGTACACTTTAAAACTTGAGTGCAAGCAGAGAGAGCAACCAGACAAGTTCAGCTTGTTTTTTGCTTTACTAGCCCCTCCCCCTCCCCCAGCCCCAGATTTCTGTTTTGTTTTGTTTTTTTAATGCAAAGAACTAAGATAATAATGTACACAATTAGACTGCATTGCAATTTTGTTTTAGAGCTGCTTTCGAGCTGTGTACAATACAATCTTATGACTGGTTCAGATTTTGAATTCTGTCTGATTATTATCTAAAAAAAAAATAATCAAAACTAAGCCTGAGGCAGTAAAGTTTCTGCCAAATGCATTTTTCTGCATCTAACATCAACAATTTTAACTTGCCTTTCTGGCCAGTATTACTCCAGTTTAACAAGTTACTTTGTTTCTTTGGTGTCTTTAAGTTAATCAAATGTGAAAGGTAAATATGCAAGTTTTCTTGCTTGCACTTAGGGGTAAAGATTTGCCTGTGGTTTGGTAGGCTGGTCAGCATATATGCTGGTTAGCTTGATAAAGTAGAGATTGGTCAAAGTTATGTTGTAAAACAACCTGCTACTCATAAAGGGGTTTACTGTTCAGGTGCCAGGAAATAACACCGTATTTAATAGTGACCTCCACATTAATGCCAGCAGAGCTTGGTGACCTCTGAACACTAATCATTCGATCATGTATTGCTAAATGTTTGTGTAATTTTTTCCCAAAAGTTTACTGAATTTTAAACAAGAATATGATGACGTGAAGACTGCAGCGACACTTAAAGTATTAGGAAACAACTTTATTATGTGACCAACTGGTTCTGGCTGATTGGTTAATTGGGTAAGCCACAGCCCAAACAGGTTCTGGACTGAATCACTACAGATTAATCGTTTTGAGTAATTCAATCTCAAAATTACACAGAAAAATGCCAATAGTAAATATAAAAATAAAGTAAGTACAGGAACTTTTTAAACAAAAACACAAATATGAGTATGGCAATCTGTGCAGAAGGGAAACCCAGAAAGATTCAGCGTTTATTAATGGCATGGCAACTTGCCTTTACAGCAGCCCCTGTTACTGCTCCATAACCCAGTGTGAAACAAGGCAGTCAGTTAGTTTTCATATTTAAATTTTTTTTTAAGTTTCTGTTTATTTCATTAAGCACTACAGTGATGTTTTCATGGTAGATTTCACTGCTGGCAGGTACCAGCATGGAGTTAAAAAGAAGTAAACCATCTCTGTTTGAGGTTAGCAGTATGAAGAGACATTAGCTGCTAGCTGCATAACCAACAATAATTTCCAAACTATCAGCAACTGCTAGGATTACTTAATGTGCATGTGAGGTTGTGGGAAAATAAAAGAATAAAACACTGTAAGCATAAGGTGAAAAACAAGTCCGGATGTAAATTAGGAAATAACCATAGTACTTCATTTAACCCATACTAACATATCCATAACATAACCATGGATCATCCGTCTGATATTTTGAAGCTATTATGCTATTACACGGACGAGATCCCCTGTTTTTAGGTCTTCCAATTTCAAACTAATAATGAGCTTCAATATACGGGGCATTTTCCTCACTGGCTTTTCATGCCTACTTCAAATATTATCAGCAAGTGCTTGACAAACAAAACCAAGAAAAAAGTGCTTTCATCTGGGCTCCACCTGTAACTTGTATTATCTAAGTAAGCTTCTGCTCCTTTAAAGAAAGAGGTGCATTACATTTGCAAAAGAAAAACAGTTGTACTGCAAAACATATACAGCAAAATGTATAGCACAAGATCATGATTTAAGTTTTCTGAGAATTGTTGAATTTGCTCTATGAAGTTCAACTATCATAAAAGAATGAAGAAAAGAGCCATGCACAGTATCATCAAATAGGGTTCACACTCTTGAGATGATATCTATAGAACAACAACTGTACATGTACCCTTCAGCAGGACTGAACACGCACATACCCAAACCAAAACAAGCCTTGTCAGTCTGACATGCCCTGAGGCCTCAGTGTGCAGCAGTGTTTTACTGCAAAGCTGCAGGAAGCAGTGAAATGGGGTGTATTTAATCTGATTATTGCACGCTTGATTTGACCTCAGTGGCTCAGTGCCACTCCTGCAGGGGTTCAATTCCAACTAATACAGATGCCACGGCGCTCTCTGTGTGGACCTACAATCATAGCACCTGACATTTTTGAATTAAAGGACACAGAAAACTCAACATAAACAATTAGTGAATAATGTGCAAAGGCAGACACATCAATGAGGTGTATTAAGTTAAAGTCCACAAAGCAATATGTGTTGCCTCACTGACACTTCAAATAACAGCTTTTTAAAAAGGCAGAAAAGAGTTTGTAAAATAGGTTAATGTGACAAGGGTACAAGTCTGGAAAATCATAACAACACTGACCAAATCCAGACAGCTGACATTGCCATTAGACACGGAATAAAAGAGAGAGGTGTTATGCATCATTTGAAATCAGAGCAGAGATGAACCATAGCCTCCCTGACGAAGTCTCAAGAAGAAAATCTTACAGTGAGGATCTGCTTTTCGGGATGGAAAGCTATTAACTTTCTGAAATATATACAGCACAAATCATTGAACTCTGAGTGCCAAAAATGTCACATACAAAGTTCTTTGAAGTGGGTGCAGCATATACTGTATTTCAAGGATTTAGCAGCGTCTGAAGCACGTGCTGATGAGTGGTGATTTGACTTCGAGTTAGACTGTGATGCCAGATTTGGTCAAATCAAAAGAAAACTGCGTATTCCTTATTTAGCTTAGCTTAAGTGTAGAGTCAATTGCGCCGAGAGTGAAAGAAACAACATGTTTACTGAAATCAGAAAACACCTTTTTCATGTCTCTGTTGTTCGTCAGGTCATCTGACATTTTATGATTTCTTATGGAAGAGACGCATCTTTTCCCTGCAGAAGACGGGGTTTTTGCACCTCAAACTATATCTGAAAGTTAGCAACATACACTGGCTGTGCCACAGAGACATAGCAGCACAGATGTTTGAGATAAACTTTTGAAAGGTAAGAAGTTAAAAATAAAGCACGTGTGTATGATATCACACGGCTATTTAGCCAAAATCTTAATTACATTTGAATGAAACTGTGTAAACACATAAACAGGTTTTACAGATTTGGATTTTACCTTTAGTAGGAGGTGATACTTCAGCACCCTCTGCATGGGAACTACCAAAAGATCTTGGAGCTTGAACTTTCCTTCTTGCACTTTCATTGTACATTCCTGTGGAAGAGTGACACAAGCAGTGGCACAGTTATTACATGTTGCATAATACAGCATTGTAGATTTCCTACAAACAAGTATTCATTTGTTGTTTAAGAATACACTGTTGTGTTGCTGCTGTTGCTTCCACACATTCACAGGGCACTCCTTTAGCAATGAGGCCGGTTTATTCTTTCAGGGCACAAAAACTCTGGTTGTGCCAGCTATTTGTGACACAATTACGCAGCATACTGAGAGAGGACATCCTCTGACAAATGAGTGCATATCCCTAAATTCTCTCTCGGCTCCATAAGAAGCGCTCTTTTGTTAGTATTATCCTATAAGGTTCCCTCACAGTGGTGTCTGTGTACATCTTTGTTCACTCGGTTTCTTTAAGTGTGCAATATCAGCAAAGCTTATCCTGTTTTACAAACAGTACTTTTCTATACTGAGCCAATAACAGGCTGACTTAGCCTTTTACAAAGCTCCTTTATTTTGAATGGGGTATCTCAGTTACTACTACCCTGTGTAGCTATATGTATTGCCTTTTGTGCTCATCAGCTCTAGGGCCCACTTGTCCTCCCATTCTAACTGCAAATGTGCTTTAATCCCGCTCTATCCTGCATTCCTTTTCTAAGGATTTTCAGTCTGTATAACATCACAAAATCATAGCAGCATACTGAGGGGGAGATCTTGTTGTATACATAGATTCTAAAAATGTCCCAGATTTACACAGTAAAGGTTCCTTTTCTCTTGTTTCATCTTTTCCTGTGCACAAGGAAATTTAACAATACAACCAAGATCCACCACAACCCCTGTTTGGTTAATATTCCATTTTGTTCAGTATAACAAAATGTTCTGAATTTTTTAAGGCTCTAGGGGCAAATATGCAAATTACATCTGACTTCATTATAGGTTCTGCCTAACAAAGGCAAAGCTTGGCCCCACTGATGAATTTATTTAAGTCATTATTTAGTCATTGTCATTGTTTATTCAACAGTAAATTTTACTTTTGAGTTGGGCTTTGATTGAAACGGCCATATTCTAAAGCAGCTTATTTTGTTGGTACAACTCTTCAGAGCATGTACTGCAAGTCTGGATTGATATAAAATTTTAGATTTGAGTATACTTTCTAAAAGAAATACTGCATCACTTTGTCCTTTTTCTGTAGTTGGCACACAATGAATTTGGTAGTAATGCAATACACCGAAATATGTTTCTCTCCTCCTGTGGTGTTTGCACATGGTGCATGGGCAAAACACTAGCTAGAATGCCATATCAAAACAGGTGGACAAATATCCAGCTGCTGTAATATAATAATGTATCTCCACACACTGGTGCCAGGAGTCAGCAGGAACATTTAACAATTTGTAAATATAATTTTGCTGACTATCACACTCTGGAACCCGGTGAGCTTTTTTGACATGGTGCATTAACCTGTGGAAGCAGCCATTAGAAGACAGGCACATTGTGGTCATAAATGGATGGACATGATCAGCAAAAATACTCAGGTAGGCTGTGTTTTTTTTTTAAATGACACTCAATTGGTACTGTAAGGGGTCCAAAGTGTGCCAAGAAAATGTTCCCCACACCATTAGTCCACCACCACTAGCCTTAGCTGTTGGCACAAACAGGATAAACCCATGCCATCTTCTTTTTGAAGCGAAATTCTGATCCTGTCATTAAAGTGTCACAGCAGAAATCCAGACTCACCAGAGCGGCACATGGTGTGGTCATCTGATTTAAGGTTGGTCACATTTTGGATTCAGAGAAGATGTTGCATACCTTGGTTGTAACATGCTTTTTTCAGTTACTGTTGCCTTATTATCAGCTAGAAAACAATCTGGCCATGATCTCTGCCCTCTGGCATGAAGAAGGTATGTTCACCCTGACAAATGCTACTCACCACATATTTTTACTTTTTTGTGTCATTGTCTGCAAACTTTGGAGATGGATGAGTGTTAAAATCCTAGCAGAGCATCAGTTTTTAAAATACTCAGACCAGATAATTTGGTACAAATACAACACCTTCTGAGTACGACATTCATTTTAAACGTGTGTAGAGATGAATGTTACCTCTACTTTAATCCTGACATCTTCCCGTGTGGCTATTAGCTCGTCCAGTTTCTTCTGGGCATTCTCCATGTGGCTGCAGTACTGACCATAGATCAGCAACCTGGGGATGTGAAAAACTAATTAATCCAGTTACTCTGTTACAACTCATCCTCATTAAGGAATCCACAGAAGAAATATGAGGAGACTGTATAAAAATGTTTACAGCTGATACTCTCAAAAGAAATAGTACAAGGATACAAACATTTACAAGTCCCAGATAATCTTGAATACAACAAAAGCAACTTTTTGAAATGTTAGGCTTTCTTATTAAAGCTTTTTTATTTTTAAGATCATGACTACATCCACTCACAAATGTCCCACTGTGCCCTTAGAAATGCTGGAGGTCCAAATAATAAAACATTAATGTTTTTAGGAGACAGTTGAGATTATAATTTGCATATTTTTGCTCGTCCTCGGTGAGGAAAAGAGCAAGTGGGCCCATAAACCTCCGTGTGGTGTTTGCAGTCTAAAAATAAGAATTAACAAGGACTAATAAGTCTTGTGTTAACATCTAAAATTACGAGATTTATAATATCTTTGTTAAAACACAGGTAAAAAATGTCTACAATTAGCTGTAAAGTAGAATCTTTTGGTAGTATATGGACCTTCAGGCAACCTATTCATTTTAAGTTTATTAATATAATTTGGGAAGTCACGTCAAGAGTCATTTAACACTAACGGGTACAGATAAATGCATGTGTGAATAAATGTATTATAATTAATGTATTATAATTAAAAATATATTCACATCCAAGGGAAATATTTGAAGGGGTGGCATGCTCTTGCCAATAAGCTATAATCATAGCGTACTAATGAAAGTCAGGGCTTTATATCAGTTGGTTTGCAGAGCTCCTCTTATCAGTGTGTGAGGGGAAAACAATCTTTTAATTTTGAGTAGTGAGGATATGAGAGCTGAGTTCATTAGGTATTACAATGGGACACTGACATAGATCTACGGGTTCAGCTGGGAGGGAGTTCAAAGTCATCTTGCCTGGAGGATGCCACCGCACGTGGCAAACATTCTTTGCACTTACTCAGTCAAAGTAGGGCACTGGCACAGGCTGGTATAGTGCAACCCACCCCCACAGCTTGGTAGAGTTGGCACATAGGCCTCTTAATCTGAATCTTAAGCGAGCGAGGCGGTGTAGAGAGCTGGCACCCTGAAGTCTAATCAAGCCTCTGATAGCTTTGAATAACAGGCACTAAAAACAGACCATCCAGGGAACTTTGGTAATGATGCAATCAGGAAACAAAACTGGTTATGCATAGTGACACATATTATGTATTTATTTTATATTTAACTTAAGGTTAACCATTTCTATTCATGTATTTTAATCAATAAGGATACAAATCTTTGGAATGACAAGTCTGTTTAAATTGTCATTAATGGGTATTTCAAAAATTCTGCATGCAGTGTTCCCAAAACACAAATTTCAAATATTAGAGCAAAAGTCTCTTTTAAAATGATTAATTGCTCTCTTCCAGTGGCTCTAAAAAAAATTCATGGCTACAAAACTGTTTTTCAGTTATGCAACTTATGCCAGATGTGAAACACTGAACATCTTCACCTTAAAAGCAGCATTTCTGTCAAACCCATTCACCATGTGATTAGCCTCTGCTCTGCAGAGATCAACAAGAGGTGATCACTGGAGTTTTAACTGGAGCTCAGACAGAGGTTTGAATAAGGCCCCCTCCTGCAGGCTCCAGCTATGGTTAAGCCCAGGGCTAACAAGCCCCTGATTAAGATGTGATCCACACTCTGGGAGACAGCTCTCCTCAGCTCTGGCTCCTCTTTGACGACACAGTGATTGAGATTAATGGTGGCCTTGATCAATTTTAAGACTGTGCGATATAGTGAGGACATAATGGTACGTGCCAGGTCACAAATCTTATAGTGAGCTATCAGCTCCTAATGGGACATGAAGGAGTTTGTAATAGCAGCATACGAAATGATGCGATTTAACTTCAGTATGGAAATTATAAGAAATGTTAAAAAACTTGGTGAAGATGAACAAAATGAAGAACAATGGTGACTCTTTAAGTTATGCAGCAAGCAAATGTGGCTACACTGTCCTAAAGGCTAGAGCAGGGGTAGGCAACCTTTCTGATGGCGAGTGCCATTTAAATTTTCCTCAGAGGTCAGTGTGCCACATGATTGCATTAGCAATAAATTTAATAACGCTCTATATTAACACTTACACACTATATAGAACTACTTTATAGAATTATATTTGTTCGCAGATGTTGGCAGCTATCAGCGAATAGTT